TTCCATAATTTTATTTATATATATATATATATATATATATATATATATAGTTAGCTTTTTTTTCTTTTTTAACAAATAGATGAATTTTAAGCAAGGACATTAGGAATATGACGAACTAAGAGGAAGGATCTTAACATGTTATAGTTTAACATACACCAGCTGTCATGCTGCCACTAACTACTAATCAATCGCACTCTGTAGCAGTGCAGACAAACATGAAGGCAAATCTTTAGCCCACAAACACAAGCACTGCTACATCGCTGCATCTGACAGACAGACAGGCCCGTGCTGAAGGCATGTACAGGCTGCAGTGACAGTCAGGCACACATGTGAGTCACGTGATCCATCTATGTCCAAGTCTGACAGGGTCTACAGGTCAACGGGACGTTAGGAAGACCAATGGGGCAGCTGGGAGGACTTCGACAACTACTAAATGAAGCAGATAAATGTATTACCCTTCAGTATTCTTAAAAAAAGTTTGGTAAATTATAGCTGTGGCTCAGTCTTAGTTCTCATCTACATAAATGTCTTTCCCAATGCCACAATTGTATTGTAAAGTGCTATAGAATAGTGGCGATTTATTACAGATATATAAAAATACAGTTCAATTACATTATTGCAAATAAGATGTATGAAATGTTGAAATTAAACACACTTATTTTAAATATCAATACTGAGAAAAAATGAATGACTGACAGATATTATGAAAATGACCTACAGTATATTATTGTCCACTTATTGGGAAGCGGTGCTAATTTCAGCTATAGCCAGAGATCTCAGAAGATTGTCTGTAAACGTTCGGATACTTAACGCACTCTCAGATAATAAAAGTCCTTTTTGTTTATCACTTCTAATAGTCTTTCCCCCCTTTATTACTTTATACTTGCTTGCATGTTTTGAAGCTATATTTATTTGGTTACAACCGTTTTGATTTATTTTTAATCTGTAATAATTTTTTAAAGTAGCCTGCTTATATAATTTAATAAAAATGCACAAAATAAATTTTATATTATCGTGATGCATCATGATGCATCGTGATATCGAATTGAATAGAATAGCTGACATGATAATCGTAATCAAATTGAATCGTGAAACCAGTGCCGAATCACACCCCTACAAGACACGTCATTACCATCACTGCATGATGTCTGAGTCCAAAACGGTAATTAAATAAATATAAATTCTTATGTATTAAAAGAAAGATATTTCCACATGACTCCTCTAAAGCTGAATCCACATAGTACTGTTCTGTTTACATTATGTTGTGTCACACTACTTAAATGTTATTGATGACATTGCTCCTTTGAAAGTCAGCACTTGCCTTGCCTTGCCTTGCCTTAAATCATCTTTGAGAGCAAAGGAGCCCCCTGGTGCTGACCGACACTGCTAACTAGCTAAAAAAGACCTTATAGACCTTATTAACCTGATAGAAAAACAATGAAAGTCTATGAGATGAGATCATTGATACAGTCAAACAACAGTCTGTGTGTGAGAGTGTGTGTGTGTGTGTATTTGTAGACCTACACTTTCGTAGTCCTGCTGTCATCATGTTCTCTCCTCCATGATCCACACTTTAAACACACAAACACACATGAATGTAGATCTGCATCATTCACACACACGTTCAGTATGTCAGTATTAGTGTTTGACATGCTTGAGTATCTGCAGTTTATAGTTTGGATCCTGCAGTTTGTGTTTGAGCAGCTGGACTCCTGATTGTCCTGGGTGATTGTAGCTCAGATCCAGCTCTCTCAGGTGTGAGGGGTTTGAACTCAGAGCTGAAGACAAATAACCACAGCCTTCCTCTGTCACCATACAGCCAGACAACCTACATACACACACACACACATACACAGAAAGATCATCTATAGATACACACAGATCATCTACAGACACACACACAATCAGATCATCTACAGACACACACAATCAGATCATCTACAGACACACACAGATCATCTACAGACACACACAGATCATCTACAGACACACACAGATCATCTACAGACACACACAGATCATCTACAGACACACACAGATCATCTACAGACACACACAGATCATCTACAGACACACACAGATCATCTACAGACACACACAGATCATCTACAGACACACACAGATCATCTACAGACACACACAGATCATCTACAGACACACACAGATCATCTACAGACACACACACACACACAGAGACAGATCATCTACAGACATACAGTCAGATCATCTACAGACACACAGATCATCTACAGACACACACACACACACACACACACACACACAGACAGATCATCTACAGACACACACAGTCAGATCATCTACAGACATACACGGTCAGATCATCTACAGACACACAGTCAGAGCATCTACAGACACACACAGTCAGATAATCTACAGACACACACAGTCAGATCATCAACAGACACACACAGTCAGATCATCTACAGACACACAGATCATCTACAGACACACACACACAGACAGATCATCTACAGACAAAACTCGGCCAATTGATTTTGTAATATTCTCTAATTATGTCCGTATGAAAAGGTGCATTTCTATTAAAGGTGACATGTCATGAAAATCTGACTTTTCCAGGTTTTAAGTGCTATAATCAGGTCCCCGTGCATCTACCAACCAAGGAAACGTGAAAAAGATTAACCCAGTAAAGTTGTTTTGGGAAGCCTTTTTCTGCAAACGTCTGAGAAAACGAGCGCGTCTGATTTCGCTCCCTTGGTTACGTTTTAATGTCTGTAAGGCAAATATATACACAGAGTTTTGCATTCAAGTTCACAGACCAAGACGTCAGAAAGCGCATCCTGTTTGCTTTCATTATTTTACAAAAGTGCGGTATTGTGAGTGCACACAAATAAACGTAGAGTCTTTACAGATTTGAAAGATG